ATAATGCTTTCCTATGGACGCTTGCGTCTTCTCACTGTGATTTTCACAGTGAGAAGCACGCAAGCGCCTCTAGCGGCTGTCAAGAGACAGCCACTAGAGGCTGGATTAACCCTAACATAAACATAGCAGTTTCTCTGAAACTGCTATGTTTATAAAAAAAAAGGGTTAACCCTAGCTGGACCAGGCACCCAGACCACTTCATTAAGCTGAAGTGGTCTGGGTGCCTATAGTGGTCCTTTAAGCTAAAAGTGAATCTTAGTGTATATTATTAAAGGGAAATTATAGACATCAACATAAATTAATGAAGCAGTTTTGGTGTATAGATCATGTCTTTGGTAGTCTCTTTGCTCAGTTTGCCATTAAGGAGTTAAATCACTTTGTTTATACAGCCTAAACACTTCCTAAACACTTCCTGGCAGAACCTAGGATATTTTAGGTTCCTGTATTGCACATTCTGTTTAATCTAGAATTTCTCATTTTCTTAACAGCCTCCTAGATCCTGTAGGAGCCTCCTATATGTGATTAGAGTTCAATTTATAGAGCAGGAGATAAAGACTGCTAAAACAAGCTACCATCTGATTGAAAAATTAAAACATTTTTCATGTAGGCTGTATGAATCACAGCAAAATGAGGTGTGGCTAGGGGCACATAAACAGAAACAAAGGTGATTTAACTCCTAATTGGCAGAGATATAAGCAGTGAGACTGCAAGTGCATAATCTATACACCCAAACTGCTCCATTAAAGGACCACTATAGGCACCCAGACCACCTCAGTTTAATGAAGTGGTCTGGGTGCCAGGTCCATCTAGGGTTATCCCTGCCTGCTGTAAACATAGAAGTTTCAGAGAAACTGCTATGTTTACATATGGGTTAATCCAGCCTCTAGTGGCTGTCTCATTGACACCCGCTAGAGGCGCTTCTGCGCTTCTCACTGTGATTTTCACAGTGAGAAGACGCCAGCATCCATAGAAAAGTATTGAGAATGCTTTCCTATGAGACTGACTGAATGCTCGCGCGGCTCTTGCCGAGCATGCACATTCAGCCGAAGAGGGAGGAGAGTCCCCAGCACCGAGGGAGCCCGGCGCTGAAGAAAGGTGAGTGCTTAACCCCTTCCTCCCCTTAGAGCCCAGCGGGAGGGGGGCCCTGAGGGTGGGGGCACCCTCAGGGCACTATAGTGCCAGGAAAACAAGTTTGTTTTCCTGGCACTATAGTGGTCCTTTAAGTTAAAGTTGATTTGATACCTCTAGTATCCCTATGATAAATACATGCATATTCCAATGGGAATAGTATTTGTTTTTAAAACAAAACTTTTTTTGGATGAGTAAAATAGACTAACTTTTTAATGATTGCATATGGCACAGACAGGGGTATGTAAACCTTAGGTTCAAGGACTTTCTAAATGGAAATATAAACACAAATCTTTTGTCATAGACTTTTTATCCAATACCAAATGAAATTATTTTGTTAAAGCTACTGTTAGGAATGTAAGCATACAAAACAGAATACATAATCTTCTAATGCTACCTGACTGCAGCATGAAATCCGAGTATCTAGGCATAGTGCGAAAAATGGAAAATCCATGACTATGTGTAGTTTATGCAAAGTGCGGAGGAAAGTGTATACTATCTATTTTAAAGAAATAAACAGACCTTGAAATCTCTTGATACGAATACACAGCATGACTGTTGCTGTTAACAAGCAGGGACAACCTTAAAAATGTTATTAGATATGTCATTTACACTTCAACTAAAATCTATGCAGATTACTTTCTAATCATTTTATTTGGATCTAAGATTTTTTTCAAATGACCACAACCCAATATTTAGTGAATAGAGACACGTTGTCCACTTATTGATGGTGATCCCTATTTAAGATCTGATTATCTATAACTAAACCAATTTAGCTTTTTTCCTACTTGTTCAAGCGTTAAAGAAACACTCCGGGCACCTTAACCATTTCATCTCAATGATGTGGAACCTGGATGTCCCGTGCGTAGTCTTAGCAAAAGTTTTGTGTTTAGATTTTTATTTAGAAAATCATTGAACCTAAGGTTTGCTCACTCCTGCCTGTGTCACATGTAATCATTAAAAAATAAAATATATTACATAATAAAACCTTATTTATCCCGTCCACTTGGCCCCCCTGTCGCCTCCTCCTGCTCCAGCCTCCTTGAACTGGGTGCTGGTAATAGTCTGAGAGCAATGCCCAGTGCATTTGAAATATAGTTACATTTATAAATCTAGTGTGTCTGAGCAGAGGCGAATTACCCTTTAGATGTAATAGATGGTTGCCAAGGTGCCAGGGCCAGACAGGAGTCCATTGACCCTGGTCTGGGTCTGGATCACCAGCTCTGACTATGAAGGGATCCTGCCTTAGCCAGCATGGAGGTTAAAATGCGCCACCTCATTACAGTTAGGGAGCATTGTATTCTACACCTCTATCAAGTGCAGAACCTTCAACCCTCAATGACTCAGAGCACAGCAGCCAGCAAGTAGAGTCAATGACTGAGAGTTGGGACTGTGAAGTAGCTCATAAAGTGATTTGCACCCAATACAGGTGAAGTCCATAATGGACCACCAGTGATTAAGCCCAGCTTGCCCTCCAGTGGACCACTACAGATTATACTCCCTCCAGCCAAAAGGTAAAGAGGAGTTGGGCAAATTAAAAAATACAAGTAAAGATGTGTGAGGAGGCCTTCACAAACACCTCAACCTCCTTCTCCAACACACACAAGACAGCCACCCACCACATGCCACATTTAGCCTCCCCACCGCACACGCAATTAAGCCCGAACATTGAGTTATATACTCAGACATAACAGCAACATGGAGCTCCTAGAAAAGAGGGACATTAGGATTAAAAATCAGGACAGCTGTATTTTTGGCAAAATAGGGACACTATTTTAGGGATAGGGACACTTGGGAGATATGTTGATTTATCACTTTAGTAAACAACCCAGTCAGTCACACCCACACACATACACAGCAGACATCACACACACAACACTCAGGCTCTCCTATTTACAGATCAGAGCTCTGGGAGGGGGCTCCAGTCTGACATCCTACCTAGGGGCCCCTGGGCAATCTTAATCCAACTATGTGTTTGAGAATGTCTGTATATGTGATTTTGAGAATAAAAGCATATGTAAAAGTATCAAATGTGCCCATGTTTTAGAATGTTTATCATAAGTGACTTTTACTATAAATAAAACATATGTATAGATTTACATTTTCATGTTAAATAACAAATGAAAAATCAGGAGTTGTTGTGCACTGGAGTCTGAAGACCTAAGGCCTCCTTGGTCCAGTTTTATTATGAAGGGCCGCTTTCATCTACTGAGCAGCTGTTGTTAAACCTCATCTGCATGGATTATTTAACACATCTGCCGGGATGTGCTCTCGCCATCTTTTAATGCATGCTGAAGTCCCCAGAGGGTATCTATACAATAGAAGAAACTTTGTGTGTTTAATGTGCACTGATGTTAGCATGCATTGAATCATAAGACGCAAAAACAATTGCTGCTGCATGGCAAAATCTAAGTGCTGCGTACCATCACCCATGGACATGAAGATCTGCAGGCAGGTAAAGCACAAACAGAGAATGAGGACAGAACAAAGGAACTGCAATAGGTGGAACTGTGGATATATGTTTTCTTCTACATTAGTTTCTTCTCCACTAGTTCCAAAACTAGACTTGGAGATTAGTTTTGGTCCAAACTACAATTTGTCCAAATTTGGGACAACTGGCTGACTGGTTGAATTCAAACATTGGGAGGTATGCATTTGGGACTGGTGTGTGGCCTTTTAGGGGGAGTCGGCAGTGACACAGCTTGCGATACTGGCTGCACCCACAGTGAGTGGGTCTTCCTGGAAAGAGGCAAGTCAGCCTGGGGTCAAGCCTGCCAGACTGCCAGACAGGCTCCTGACCAACCAGAGTTCTGTGCATAATCCTAATTTATCACATGACAGGAGGCTTCATATTTTGCATAACTTTCTTTACTTTATGCCTCCAGCAGCACAAGTCAATCAATAAACTTTAAACCAATCAGTAACAGGCATCACATTCATATATAAAGCCCTGATAGTCACATGACTTCCTCTTTCTTTGCTGCTTACCAGCCAAGGCACAGGTCAGAGTATTTTGCTCCAAACTGTTTTACTGAATATTGCAATTGTCATTAGTTAATCATTTATTGCTTAACTTTCAGTTTGTTCCAAACTGTTTTTATTAATATTGCTATGGTCACTGTAGTTAGACACCTTATGCTAGACATTCAGTTTTAATCCTAACTGTTTTTTCTGGATACCACTTTAATTAAACTTTATTAATTGACTTTCAGTTTGCTCCAACTGTTTTTATTACTATTGCTATGGTCACTTTAGTTAGATTTTTAATGCTAGACATTCAGTTTTTGCTCCAAACTGTTTCTGGATATGAATGGGCACTTTTGTTAAACTTTATTAGCTTGTCCTGCAATTTTGGCCTAAACGTTTTTCATTATTTTGCACTTGCCTTCCATTTGTATTTGTATAGTGTGATATTCTCCCCCTGTTACCCTTCCCCTGAATTAACCCTGTATTTTCTGCTTTATTAGCCTGTTTTCTGTTGCTGGCACCTTTTCTTTCCTATGCTTTACTCTGGTCTCGCATGGATCGCGGCGTTTTACCGCGAGCACGCTTTTTATTCATTGGTGCTGGGACTTCAGGGCAGGTCTCTGGGGGTTGGGGATGTCGGGGGGACTCTTTTCCATGCCGGCAGACCGCGATCGTATCCTCGATCGTGGGCCGCACGGCACTTTTGCGCGCGAACGGCGGCCATCTTGAATCTCGCGGCACTCGCGAGATTCACGTCGGCCATGTCGTTTGGCCAGTTCGTGATTCCCACGAACTGGCGGCTAGTTCTGTACTGTTTCATATATTTTTCCTGTGAAATAAAAGTTTTACAAGTACTTTTGAGCTCAATACTGTTCATGGGCATGTGGAATAAAGGTTTTATATGCACCTTTCCTGGAAGATTATGAATGGACTGTTCACTGCTGAGCTCTATACTGGCATATTTCATTGGCATGTGAAATAAAAGTTTTATATGTAACTCTGCATGAATATGTAGGACTGATCCCTGCTGTGTGCATCTGCTGACCGTTTGCTCTATTCTGTTCTATACAATTGACATGTTGAATAACAGTTTTATTGTACATCTGGAGGATTATGAATGGACTGTCCCCTGCTGTGGGTATATAGTGGATGCATTACTCTATCTACTGGCAGGGAAATTAAATAGAGCTGATATCTTACTCCGCTCCCTACTCCCACTGGACCTCACAACCATTGGATACACTCCTTCCCCACAGGGATACACCTCCCAGGACACAGTAGTGGAGGCACATAACGGAGTGATTAACAGGGGTGATCCCCCTTACGCTGGGTGACCCCCAAGCGTGGCAGACACCTCTCCAAAGTGACATTGTGGTACAGGGGTGACCCCCCTTACGCTGGGTGACCCCCAAGCGAATCTGGTTCCTGTCCTAGTGACATACATATACTGGGGTGATCCCCCTACTCTGGGTGAACCCCAAGCGAATATTATTCCGGTACTAGTGACATACATATACTGGGGGGAACCCCCACGCCCTAGGGCGGGCTCATTTCCACGGAGTACGATCTGTTACTGTATGCACAGACCGGGTCACACTGAATACATGTATATCGACAGAGCCAGGAAGGAGAGCTCATGGTGCTGCCAATTCTCCACAGTACTATATCCTATAAGGGTGACCCCTTGGATAATTTGGAGGCTACCATACCTCCCCATACACGGGCTACGTCCCGACATTACTGACCGCTCATCCCGGTCTTATTGAGGGTGACCCCCTCCTCAGACCACTCCCAGGAAATCTCTAAGTGGTACTGATTGAAACAATTCTGGGTGACCCCCAGTTGTACGTGGAGGCCCACTAAGTGGCAATAAGTGTACTACCGTACCTGACACCTGTTCGGTACCCCATAGACCGAAAGAGTGTCCCAACATGCCATAAGAGACATTCATACAGGGGTGACCCCCCTATGCTGGGTGAACCCCAAGCGAGTCTTACTCCGGTGCTAGTGGCATAGGTACAAAGGGGTGACCCCCCGCACCCTTTCTAGGGCTTCTACCTTCAGAGTACGCTCTGTCATTGTATGCACAGACCAGGGCGCACTAGATGCATGTATTCTGGCACCTCTATGCTTCAACTGGGGTTCCGTACGCCCTTCCCTTAACCAAGAAGGAGAACTCACAGTGCTGCCAAAACTCCACAATTCTAGACCATATAAGGATGAACCCCGTGGACTATATATATTGAGGCTTTCACGTCTCCCAGACTCGGGCTACGTCCCGACATTGCAGACCGCTCATCCCGGTCTTACTGAGGGTGTCCTCATTCTCAGACCACTCCCCGGATCCTGCAAAAATGATACTGATTGATCAAAATTCTGGGTGACCCCCAGTTATACGCGGAGGCCTACTGAGTGGCAATAAGTGTACTGTTGTACGATCCTGTCTCCCACGGACCGAAAGGGTGTGAACCAACATGTCGGACTTACCTCAATATCTCCGACCGATTTTCAGGCGAGGATTAAGGCTGCCATGACAGCTCCGGGGGAAGAAGTCCTCTCCAGTATGCTGGCTAACAACCCATCCGACAGAGCGGGTGCAACGGCAGCAACACCAATGGAAGATTGAGATACCGACGTTAGGTCGGACACCCATCATCAGGGGACGAGGACTTCATCCTCCCCCCCCTTCTCTGGAGATCATGAAAGAATGGAGGGCAGAAGAGGTAAAAGTGACAAGACACGCCTAGCAAGAAAGGTTTTTTCTTTGGCACACTGGACACTCCTGTTTTGACTCACGCACCATCCGACAAGCAGGGTCATCCGAATGGGGTTAACTGGAGCACCGGGCCCACTTCTGGCTTAGGAGGCCTATGGGAAAAGAAATCCGAGACCGGCTCAGGATGGAATGCCCACGCCCTCTATGTCCGAACAAGATAGTCCTCACTATGGAGCTCGTGGTGATATGTATGTCCCGATCAGTGTGTAGGAGGAGGACTCAAAATGAGTTAAATACTGGATATGATCAGCCCGGGAAAAAATTCTATACTTTGCGGACCTGACCCCACACAAGACTCACCTCTAGAAGCTCACGATGTGAGGGAATGGGTGCAAAGGGCAATATGTAAGTTGGGGAACGCAAGGCAGACAGGTGCACAGAACGCCGCAAAGCAGCCCGATTAAAGATGGATTTCAAACTATTGAAGTTAGGGACGAAAGAGCGAGGACCTCAGGCAGACGGACTATCGTTTGGAGAACCATTTATCTCAGCAACGGTTTGGTAGTAAGGAAGAAGATAGGAGACTATCACCCAGTCATCAACCTATGCCAACCCAATGGTTTTGGGGCGTACCGACAACTCAAGAAGGAAGGTATCCATCTCTTAGGGGATCTACAAGGTTGGACTTGAAGGGCACTTACCTATAGGTTCACATGGTGCCTCATGAAGTTTCTGAAGTCGGTCACTGCGCACTGAAAAGCAAAGGGTATCTGCTGTCACATACCTAGACGACTTACCTTTTGCAAATCCAATTCATGACTACGTTTACAAACGAGATTTATGTTTACAGTTTCGGGAATTGTTGGGATTCATAGTGAACAGAGAGGAGTTGGTTCGATCCCAGTTCCGAGTGATTCAGTTCCTCTATTTCAGAATAGATTCCACCTTGGGCGGATTACACCTTCCCACATCATTGATAGCGACGATTCGTAAGGAAATTCGACGGGTACGGCGGAAAGGCACCATAACCCTTTGACTATTTCCCAGGACTGCTTCACTACCAGGCCAGACAGTGGCTGAAAGCTCACTGCCTGAGATACGGACACACCTATGAAATTGGGATCAGAATAGCGAAGACTTCGATAGTACTCATTACTGCGGTAAAGGAGGCAAGCGTGACACCCAGAAGGGTTGTCCTTAATCAGGATCATCCTCTGCTCCTTCCGTTTTAACTTGCCTTCGGGCGGATCCAAAAGGAGAACATCATCCATTGAGAATGCAGGAGCATCTGGAGTTGGTAGATTGGTGTCTTCCAGGGGAGACTGGTATGTCAAGGGACTATCGCAACCAACTAGAGACCTACTATGGGACTCATGGACGCCAGGTATTCCCCCGAAATAACTTATCCGCATGGAACACCTTGAGTTCGCTGGTGTATGGGAAGGGACTGCGATCCCTTTATTACCCCTATCTCCACGATGCTGGATCTTTATCATACCTTTTCACTACAGGCCGATCGGAACGTTCCATTAACGGGCTACGTTCCGCAATTTCGACGATGCATAGCACGATTCACGACACTCCGGTCAATCAAGAGCCTTTGATATGCCATTTTCTGTGGGGTATCAAACCGTCCAGAACCATGCGTCAAAGTATCACTGGTGTGGGACTTTGATTTGGTTCTTTTGGAGCTAGTCAGATATCACGGTCCTATCCCTCAGTCAGCCATTAGCCAGAGTCACGTTACTTTTAGGTCTTTTCGTCGGGTATCAGATGTACTGGAGTTCGACGTAGACGGTCTTTTCGGTATCACCGGAAAGAATAATTTCTACAGTGTCTCGTAGAACTATATCTTATCCGTGTCCGTATCGTTCCCTGTTACCGACGGTTTCCCAGCCTTTGTGCAGTTAAACGGGTACTTTGTTACATGGAGATCACGACAACACTTAGAATGTCACATTCAGGACATCTGCTGGTCTTATACCAACCGTACAAGCCAGTTACCATGAACACTCTGTCTAGATGGGTTCATTGGTTGTTATCGCTAGCGAGGGTGGAGACGTGTTTGGGTACTCATTCGGTAAGAGGCGCAGCTGCTTCTCAGGCCTTCACGAGGGGGCCTCTATATTTTCAGCGACGAATTGGACATGGATAGACTACTTCCGTATATTTATTTTCGTCAACCACACACGCATCCTTCACGCTCATACCACAGCTTTAAAAATGCAAAATATGAAGCCTCCTGTCATGTGATAAAATTGTAGATTATGCTAACGTAGTGTACCTATAATCTTAATTTTAATAATGACAGGAGGCGAGTATTTTCCCTCCCTGTTTCCCTCCCTATACTCTGGAAATTTTTTATATTTTGGTTTGTCATTTTCTCAGTGTAAATTATAAGGTTTGGTAATTCAGTATATTTATGGGATGCTTATTTGGTTGATATGTGTTAGATCCGTGTTGATTATTAAGTATACTATGGTTTGTTTAATGTTTCAGTATATTAACTTAATATAAATATAGACACATATAGTACTGGATTTAATGTGGACAACAGTTGGTTTCCATCACCTTTCACGTATTTCTGTTCTTTTCAGCGTAATCATCATAGATGGATTCGACAAGATAAAGCTGGAAGGTTTCAAGTTATGTTCTACACGTTACTCAGGACTGTTATTTGAATTCCCTGACGTTATAATAGACTGTTTTTCGCATCAAAGAAAGAGGAAGTCATGTGACTATCAGGGCTTTATATATGAATGTGATGCCTGTTACTGATTGGTTTAAAGTTTATTGATTGACTTGTGCTGCTGGAGGCATAAAGTAAAGAAAGTTATGCAAAATACTCGCCTCCTGTCATTATTAAAATTAATATTATAGGTACACTACGTTAGCATAATCTACAATTCTGCTGACATTTGCCCCAAATTTGTCTCAAAAAGTATGTTCCTTTTTTGGAAATGTTCAACTTTTGGGGGGCGGGAATTTGTATTTTTGGGGGTTGGGAAGGGGAATTGTCAAATTGTGGGGGGAAAATGTTGCTCACATTTCCCCAAAATGTCAGCATCCTGAAAGATATCCTTGTTTTAGGGAAAAAGCTGTATTTTCTTGCTGTGCATAAGTCTACCACTTACAATAGACATCTCCAACGAAGTTTGCCTATCTTCCAAATGACATTTCTTTTCGTGCGCAAAAAACCCCCCCAATGTAAGAGTGCTAAATAAATCTAAATCTGTGCTAGGACCAAAAGATAAACCTCATGGTAGCAAACAATTTCTGTGACTGTCCATCTATAGGACTCATACAATTTTTATGAATGGGGAGCTACTGTTTGTCAGCTGCCCAGTCTAGCTAATAGCGGTACCACAGCCTTCCTGAAAGTCAATTGCAGAAGTCAGATACGCCTTCAGGTAAGAAAGCACCATGGACCTCCTGGCACCATAACAACTAACTTTTGATGAAGTTGTTATGGTGCCCAGAGAGTTCCTTTAAAAAGGAGAGTACCAACCCAACAAGATTCGAGTCTTCATCCAAATTGCTACAAAAGTTTTATAAATTCCAACAATATAAGCTGGCACAGTCTTTTTATGAACTTGACAAGCATGTACTGTATATTACAACATTATGAAAAACCAACGACAAATACTGCTACCACAAAATGATAGAATAATAGCTCACATAAAATTAATCACTATAAGGCAAGACATAAATATAGAAAACAAACGGAAGAAATCAAATATATCGAAAAGTGCTAGAAACTCTACAAAGTGCACAAATACAAAGTCATATAGGGATCTATTATACACTGCTCAAAAAAATAAAGGGAACACTTAAACAGCACAATGTAACTCCAAGTCAGTCACACTTCTGTGAAATCAAACTGTCCACTTAGGAAGCAACACTGAGTGACAATCAATTTCACATGCTGTTGTGCAAATGGGATAGACAACAGGTGGAAATTATAGGCAATTAGCAAGACACCCCCAATACAGGAGTGGTTCTGCAGGTGGTGACCACAGACCACTTCTCAGTTCCTATGCTTCTTGGCTGATGTTTTGGTAATTTTTGAATGCTGGTGGTGCTTTCACTCTAGTGGTAGCATGAGACAGAGTCTACAACCCACACAAGTGGCTCAGGTAGTGCAGCTCATCCAGGATGGCACATCAATGCGAGCTGTGGCAAGAAGGTTTGCTGTGTCTGTCAGCGTAGTGTCCAGAGCATGGAGGCGCTACCAGGAGACGTGGAGGAGGCCATAGGAGGGCAACAACCCAGCAGCAGGACCGCTACCTCTGCCTTTGTGCAAGGAGGAACAGGAGGAGCACTGCAAGAGCCCTGCAAAATGACCTCCAGCAGGCCACAAATGTGCATGTGTCTGCTCAAACGGTCAGAAACAGACTCCATGAGGGTGGTATGAGGGCCTGATGTCCACAGGTAGGGGTTGTGCTTACAGCCCAACACCGTGCAGGACATTTGGCATTTGCCAGAGAACACCAAGATTGGCAAATTCGCCACTGGCGCCCTGTGCTATTCACAGATGAAAGCAGGTTCACACTGAGCACATGTGACAGACGTGATGGAGTCTGGAGACGCCGTGGAGAACGTTCTGCTGCCTGCAACATCCTCCAGCATGACCGGTTTGGCAATGGGTCAGTGTGGGGTGGCATTTCTTTGGGGGGCCGCACAGCCCTCCATGTGCTCGCCAGATGTAGCCTGACTGCCATTAGGTACCGATATGAGATCCTTAGACCCCTTGTGAGACCATATGCTGGTGCAGTTGGCCCTGGGTTCCTCCTAATGCAAGACAATGCTAGACCTCATGTGGCTGGAATGTGTCAGCAGTTCCTGCAAGATGAAGGCATTGATGCTATGGACTGGCCCGCCCGTTCCCCAGACCTGAATCCAATTGAGCACATCTGGGACATCATGTCTCGCTCCATCCACCAACATCACATTGCACCAGACTGTCCACGAGTTGACAGATGCTTTAGTCCAGGTCTGGGAGGAGATCCCTCAGGAGACCATCCGCCACCTCATCAGGAGCATGCACAGATGTTGTAGGGAGGTCATACAGGCACGTGGAGGCCACACACACTACGAGCCTCATTTTGACTTGTTTTAAGGACATTACATCAAAGTTGGATTAGCCTGTAGTGTGTTTTTCCACTTTAATTTTGAGTGTGACTCCAAATCCAGACCTCCATGGCTTGAAAAATTTGATTTCCATTTGTTAATTTTTGTGTG